AGTAGAACCAAGGCGATACTCAGGGCTCTGACCATCCCCAATTGGTCCCCCATCAATGACCAGGGACAAATGAGGCCAAAGGTCTTGGAACTCCTGTGGAAGCAAAGGAAGAGCATGGCCATAATCTTTGGCATCTGCAATGATGTCACATTGCACACATGGCTCATAAATAAGACAGAGGCTGCAGTTTTAAAATAGGAGACATCTCCCTCTGGGCAGAGGAAGGAGCCTCACTTAGTTAAGGCCAGCTGTTCTAAGGCCCTGTGTTAATACCTAAGATAGAGAACCCTTTGGAGTCTGTAGCCTTCCTGGGTTAGCATCCCAAATAACACATGTCTAGAGTTTAAAGAAAAACCTTGGGGCTGGGGATGTGGCTCAAGTGGTAGCGCGCTTGCCTCGCATGCATGCGGCCCGGGTTCGATCCTCAGCACCACATACCAACAAAGATGTTGTGTCTGCCGAAAACTAAAAAATAAATATAAAAAATTCTCTCTCTCCTCTCTCTTTAAAAAAAAAAAAAAACCTTGCTATGCCAAAAGGAATTTCCACACACTGCCTAATTAGGGATGTATAAATACAATGACCGGGATTCCGGGTGGAGATTAAGATGTGGTCTTTAACCCTGGACTGTGTGACAAATTAAAATCATATTATCCAGGTCCATAAAATAAAGGGCCTGAACTAGATGACCAAGGATCCTTCCAGCTTTAGCACTCTGATTCTGGACCTTAATGGAACTTTAAATCAGGATAGGGAGAGAAAAATAGGTACATGCCACCATACTCAATCCTTGGGATGTGGGAAGAATGCTCCTACCACAACTGTGAACTAGATCATTAACTGAGCTAGAGCTTGCCCTACCCCCTAGTGAAGACATTGCAGTGGAATTAGGACTGGGAATTCAGGACGGGGGAGTCATAAATGGCAGTTATTGTGTTGGATGGGTCTACTCATTGCTAACAAATTAAAGAGCCTATATCACCTCATAAAATTCCACATATGTGTTTAATAAGAAAAGTGAAATTTGCATCCTCATTTTTTAATTTTTCCCTTTTCTCAGTACTGGGGTGATTTATCACTGAGCTACTTGCCCAGCTCCTTTTAAGTTTTTAAATTCTGAGACAGAGTTTTGCTGTTTTCAATGTCAGGCCAGCATTGAATTTGCAATCTTTGTGCCTCCAGAGTTGCTGGGATTACAGGAATGAGCCACCACACCTGGCCATGTTCTTATTCATTCTAATCTAAGTAGCCAAAATGGGATTAGCATTGATCCTTTTCCTGACCTGGCTTGTGCAAAATGACAAGACCAAGATGAGAGCTTTCACTTCATCTATCTACCTACCTATCTTCCTTTATTCTCTCTCCCTCCCATCATACCGCTCTCTCACTCCCTTTTTTGTTGTACTGGGGAATGAAAACCCAGGTCTCTGCACATGTCAGGCAAGGGCCCTACCACTGACCGACATCCCCACCTCTTTTTATTTAAAAAATTATCTTGAGACAGGGTCTCCCTAAGATGTGTAGGCTGGCCTCAAACTTGCAATTCTCCTGGCTCAGACTCCTGAGTAGCTGAGATTAAAGTTGTGCAAAAGGAGCCGGGCTTCTTCATCTATTTAAACAGCACTATTGTAAAAAAGACTTGTAGCCTAACTCTTTAGTCTCCTACAACTGCTACCCCCACAAAAATAAGAAAACAATAACTTTATTTATCAGAATCTTTCCTATTACAAGACAAAATGAAGGAAAAAAAAAAAAAAACACTAGTTCTCCACTGCTTCTCAAACTTAAGAGATAAAACCTTTACATGTTTCAGATTCCTCTCCCCAACCCATGCCAACGGGGTAGCCTTCCCTCTGCTGGACCCAAAGAACAACTCTCCCACCAGGCAATTTCTATGTACCATCAAGCCCATTGGGTCAAAGGACTGGATGACTCTCACCTCAACATTCAGAGAACTGGCCTGGGAGCTGAGGTTGGCACTGGTGAGAGCAAGAGGTCCCCCAAACATCTGGGCCAAGTCCAGCATGAAGGCATGGTCAGGAATCCGGATACCTACCAGAGGAGTAAAGGGGTTCAGGTCTTTGTTGAGCTCTTCTGAGCGTTCCATCACCAGAGTCACTGGACCTGGCAACAGGTCTTTGAGGAGCTCCTCRGGTACTCTTACTTGGCAATATCTGGGAAATAAAGGAGCAAAATCCACTCAAAATGAAGAACCGCTGGTGTGGTTCTTTCCCAGACTCGAGGCAGATCCAGGAAAGTTTTATGGGCCTAAAATGAAATCTGCCTGTCTCCCTGATTCCTCTCCCGAAGAATTCGAGAAGGCAGGGCTGAAGAGAAGGAGACCAGGCTTGGCGTCCACTGCCTGTCTCAGGGATTTCAACAACCGCATGGCATTATCAAGCCCCGCGTTTTTTTTTTTCTGCAAGGCACTCGCTGCTAAATTAAGCTTCCAGAGAACTGTTTTCTTTTCCCCCCATGGCCTCCCCATGCGCACAAAAGCGCCAAGAGAACAGGGAACTGCCGGCCTCTCTAGTTCAAGGCCTGGCATACGTTAAGAGCTCAGTACACATTTCCAGTTCCGGATTCCTTGGTGAGCCTGGACAAGCCCCTCCCGCTCTATGCGCCTCAGTCTCCCAAGCCTGTCACCGGAAACCCCTCCCGCGGTGCCGCCCCCAGCGGGGCCGGGTCGGGGCGGCCTCACCTGTAGACGTCGGCCACGCGGCCCAGGCATACGGCCAGCGGCTTGGTCTCGCTGCGGCCCTTGAGGCGGTACACAGCGTCCAGTGCCGTCGAGCAGCTCGCCGAGCAGGCCAGGCCGTACAGCGTGTCTGTGGGGACGGCCACCACGGCGCCGGCGCGCAGCTCGGCCACGGCGGCCCGCAGTGCCTCGGTCCAGCCAGCGCGCTCAGGACTTGCGGCCTGCACGGCCCCATTTCCCGGGAGCCGCAACAGCCGGGCCCCCGGCGCCGCTAGAGCGGGGCTCGGCGGGCGGAGAAGGCGTCCACTACGAGCGGAGCCCGTCGGCCCCTTGCTCAACCCCACGCTGGCAGCCACTGCGGCCCTCAGCCCCGTGCACGGTCGCGCCGGAGACATCCGCCTAGGCCAGCTTCCGGGAGGAAGTGACGCACCTAACCAACTTCCGGTCCGGGAGGCTCAGCCCCACCTCCGCGCCGGGCAGCTTAAAGGGACCGCGACCCCCAGGAGGATTGAAGGAGACCGGTGGGGACGGGGCGGGGCACAGCTTTGCGGAGCCCTAGCGCAGCGCTGGGGAGGGGGGGCGGCCGAAAGGGGGGCGGTGGTCGGGCCGCGCAGGCGGAGATGGAATGGGGCCCGGGCTCAGACTGGTCACGGGGGTGAGAGGGGGCCCGTCGGGGCGGGGGGAAGGGGCTCGGACCCCGCGCAAGCGCCAGCCCTGACCATCTGTCTCGCTCTCTCCCGGGCAGGGAGGCTGCCGGCGTGGACCGCGGGAAGGCGGGGCTGGGGCTCGGCGGGAGGCCACCCCCGCAGCCGCCCCGGGATGAGCGCGCCCAGCAGCTGCTGGACGCCGTGGAGCAGCGGCAGCGGCAGCTCCTGGACACCATCGCCGCCTGCGAGGAGATGCTGCGGCAGCTGGGCCGCCGGCGCCCGGAGCCAGCTGGTGGCGGGGTCAGTGCCCACCCCGGGCTGGGCCTGGGGGGTGGGGTCTGCTCACTTGCTGGATTAACCAAGCCTTAGCTTCCCCTGGAGGGTGGAAGAGCGTCTCCAGCGCTTTACCCTTAACCTCCTTTGGTCTGGGCGAGGGTTTTTAAAAAGTTAAGTACTTGATTCAAATGCCAACTGGCCATATCTTTGCGGGGCCTAATCCAAGGCCTTTCCTCCCAAGCTCACTTTTCCCCCTTCTGTTGCAATTAGAACGTCTCAGCGAAACCCGGAGCGCCTTCCCAGTCATCAGTCTCCGCCAGAGGTGGCTTTCCAAAGGATGCTGGTGATGGAGCTGCGGAGCCCTGACCATCCCCGAGCTGGACACCCTGACTTTTCTCCCTCCCCAGGGCTGGCGGCTGGACTCTGAACAACTCCCTTCAGTAAAGGGGCCAGTCTTCACTGAGTGTGGCTGATACTTGGCCCTCCTCAGCCTGGAGTGGCAGCTCTGCTAGCAGCTGGGTTCACTCCGACTTCATCCTGGCTGAAGGCAGTGCTGGGCTTTGAAATGTAGCCAACGAATACCCAGTCAGATTACTCGGATTTGGTCTGACCAGCAGTGCTCGCCAGAGTGGTCTGGCCTGCTTTGGGGGTTCCAGGTGGTATTACGTGTCCATTTCATCCTTTGGGGGCTCTTAGCCCCCCAAAACTTTCAGCAGAGCCTTGATTAAAAGGAAACCTGCAGACTCTCCTGGTGACTGACCTTTCCTTTCTGTCCCCTCTCTGAGACTGATGACTGGGCAGGGGGAGTGGTGGAAAAATGTCATCCATGGGCAGGGGTGGGAAGAAATGCCACAGATACTACCAAATTTAAATAAGCATTTAATTAGGATTTCATTAGTATTTAATATTGCTTTTCAATTCCAAAAAGTTAAATTTTCACTTCTTAGCAGATATTTTAAAGTACAATATTAAGTTTATACAAAATGAGCAATTAAGCAAACACCATTATTTCACATTCTTCAAAAATACAAATTCATATTTATTCTTTTTGGGTTTGGAGGTTTCTTCCTTTGGAAGTACTGAACCTGTAACGTTTTCATATCGCTCAGTGGAAGTCTATTGTTCCCATGTTTCACACTTAAATAAATTTGAAAGACTTTTACATAATCCAAATAAAACTATTTGGGATTTAAAAAACTGTCACCAATACTCCAGCCAATGATTAGTGTGTGTCAAAAAAGAAGGCTCTTGGGGGCTCTTGCCTTTCCTGGCTAGAAGATCTGAGCCAGAAACCCAGCAAAAACCTGTTTCCAGCCACCTTCCCTCAAAGGGGACTAGGGGCAGTTCACAGGAAAAGGGAACAGCCACTTTGAACTCTGAACCCACCCCCCTGCTTTCTCCAAAACAACCAAAGATGTAGACTGTTGAGTCAAACAGCCCTTAGGAGGCCTGAGAACATAAGAGGAAAAGGGCAAGAGAAGCCTCTGACTTGGCACCACTACAAGGACAAGGATATTGCAAAAAACACCCCTGGGTTTTGGTGAAAAAGGTTTTATGAAAAATTTTCCCATAAGAAAAAGTAGAAACTGCATTGAGCTGAGAAAGTGACATGACATCACCCAATTTTTTGGCCCAGCAGGCACACCACCAAAAGGGCAGTGTGTGGTTTTAAACCTCGCTTCCAGTAAAAAAAAAAAAAGCTTGTACTATGTACACCTTGACATAAAGATCCAGTTTAATTTTCATTTTTCAGTGCAGACTGAGAAGTCTTCTTGATCAAGAGTACCAGTGAGAAATGCCCAGACTGTGATCATCAGCTCCCCCAAAGGGCAGAAGAAACAACAGACCCTTTCCCTCTCTGCCCAGGAATATGCAAGAAGAAACAGGCTAAATGGACTGACCAATCAGAAATATGTATTATTCGGTTTTGTTGCCAACCTCCCTCCCCCAAATGTTAAGGATTGGACAATTTTCCCCTCTGTATTGCAAATATGAAAATCTTTCTGCTTTGGCTGAAGTGTATTTAAAACTTCTCTGGTCTATAGCCTAAGAATTAAAGATTACATGGGAGGAGGTGAGGGAGAAGGAAGAAAATGGATAAAGCAGACTATTAATAGCTTTGTTTACTGGATTTAATAAAGGCTGGAAGCCTTTTTTCTTAGAACTAACACAGGTGGTATGGGGAGCAGTGCATAAATGGCTCATGTTGACCTCCCAAACATATTTCTGATTGGTGATATAAGAAAATTGTAAACTCTTGAACAATATTGTAATTCCACAAATCAATGGTTCCTGTGACGCTCAAGTTTTTAAGATTAAAGACAATGGATGTGATTACAAATACAAAAGTCTAGAAGGTGCCAGGTTTCTACCTAGGAACAACCTGTTCCTTCCCTTCAGGCATCACTTTATAATGGTGAAGAGGGGAAAGATGGCAAGGGACCAAGAAGTGGTGAAAAAGGGCCTCAACAGTCAGAAGAAAACATCCACAGCAGTTCTTCCGAGAGCCTGAGGGGGCGCCGGGGCGCAGGGAAGGCTTGCATAGATTGAGCAGCTGCTGGGGATGCATAATAGTGTTTCCCTATGGACAGCCTCAGAGCACAGGGCTCATTGAGCGGAAAACGTGGCCAGGCCAGGGCCACATGGGACAACGACCGTCAAGCTACACATATTGCACCAAGGTAAGTGCTTTTCTTTTCACACCTCAATTTAACTTTTTATTCTGAGCAAAAAATAAAACTTTGTGGAAAGTATATATATGTATATATATACACAACAGAAATTGCAGCAATTGGGTTAAAGATAAAATAACCTAAAGTGCTTTTTTATTTTATTATTTCTTTAATATACCAATATGAGGTTCTGCAAACTTGTCCCTCTGGATACATTCAGCATTATACAAAGTCTCTCAGGAAAACCCACCTACCCTCCATTATCCCCATCAGCCCACTGCCTTGACCCTGAAAATAAATCTCCCATCTACCGACTCTCCCAGAGGTGGTGAAGAGAAGCCCCTTGCCTTCCATCCAGAGAGGTTTTCACATCTCAAGGCCTCTCCTGGGCTTTGTACCATGACCTCCTTCTAAAGGTGGGTGGAATTCAATAAATGACAACACTCCTGTCACCAAACCAGTGATGACCCTGTAAGATTGGCCAGATCATGTCAGGAAAAGACTGGGCCACCTTCTCAATGCCTCACTTGCCTGTCTGGGAAGGGCCAAATTCACTAAGGCAGTTTGGTGGTGCCAGCTAGTTTCCTACTACCTCCTAAACCCTGGTGCTGATAAGCACCCTTAGAAGAAGCAGTCTAATGAAATATTAGCGGGAACTGAAAGTACTGGTTTAATGGGTGAAATGGTCAACGTTACCATGGGAAGAAAAAGAGGCTTGATTCCACCTGCTAGAACTCACCCTTCCTAACCTTATCCTAGGCTCATTCCCAGGTATGGGAAACAATTCTCTTCCTGAAGGTTCTTTCTGGCTTCACTTTGGCAAGAAACCTTCTCTTCTCCAAGGTCCTTGGCACTAGAAGCCAAGCTGATAAAAGGAGAATGGGGAGGGAAGGAATTCTGGATGAGGAAGGAAAGAAAGTCTATCTACCCTGTGGAATAAACCTGCTCTGCACAACCACTTGTAGCATTTGAAGCACATTAATGAATTAATGATTTTTCAAAAGCTGATGGGATCTGATAGTCTTTGTCATTTAAAATCACCTGTAAGAGGCAGATACTTCAACTAGAAAAATCTTGTCAGCCAGAACACTGTTTTAAGATGTTTCTTCACCCACTTCCAAAGTGTAGAGGGTATAAAAGCCACTAACCTGGTTAGGTTCCCAACAGGAGCACAACCCTGGCTAACCAGGAAGCAGCAGTATTTAAGCAATAGATGCTTCATATGTCCTTTCCTGGGCTGTTTCCCACCTCAGTTCCCAGACAGGCATGTGGGAAAGTCATCACTACTTTTTGACACAAACTAATTTTGGGGTCCCACTTGCTGGTCTCTCAGAAGCTGTAGAGAAGATAACAAGGGCCATGCTCAAAAGCTTCCTATGAGGCCCAGAGATAGTCAAGGACAACCCATGCTCAGCAGCTGGATTCCCAGGAGGGGTAAACGAAGAATCCTCCTGCTTCATTAATTTCTGCTGAGGTCAATGGTTGCCAAAACCCACCAGTGTTTTGGAAAGGCATGCAGAAGGTCAAATAGAGATCCATTCTCTGGCTAGACTCCTAGAATGAAATCAGCTGCTTGCAGTGAAGCTTGTTTCTCCTCACGCAGTAACAGCACCACCACTATCACCTCCCTCTTGTTCACGCTTGTCCCTGAACATTTTGGCTGAAGGTAGGGCCTCTGGCTCCCAGGTAAGTTATCTGCTCTAGATACTGTATTGGCTGGCTCTGAGTCACAGCCCAGACAGCAGAAGTAACCAGTGCAGATCTCTCCTGTCCTGTGTGGGGAACCCTGCTCTTTGCTGAAGGCAGGGAAAGGGTTCTTGGGAGACAGAGGCCTATTCCACACCCTGGGTCATGCCTAGCTTCTGAGCTTGGTGAGCACTCATAACTACGTTAAATAGCCTGATGAGAGACACTTTCCATTCTAGTGTGGATTGTATTTTATGTTTTATTTTAAGAGGCAATGACTTGAAGCCAAAGGCAGACAGATGGATATAATTCTATACACAAATCAAATCAAAAAAATTTTTTTCCTATAATACAACTTAATTAAACATTCCAAATGAGATAACTTATTGCAACATTTCAGGCTTTTTGGTGGAAGGGGAATTTTTTATTTTGTTTTACCCTGAGTAGAAGATCATCGTGGTTTTCTTTTTTTTTTTTTTCTTTTTTTTTTCTTTTTTGTTTAGAAATCACATGACTAAGCTGAGCAAGTCACATCCTTGTTATCCTTGTTTGCACTGTACTAGGCTGTATGCAAAATCCAGAGAGTGAGGGCTGGAGAAAGGAGAGGGCAACCAAAAACCTGGCTAGAACCCGGAACCAGAATACCTGGCCTGCCAATTACCTGCCACCTCATCCACACTCCCTTCAATTTGCACCTTCTCCTGATAAGCAAAACACAGCCATTCTGTTGAGGAGGAAAATACCATTAAAAGGAAGGCAGACCACCATCTGGCAACTGGCCATAAGCCACATGTTCACTCTAGCACAAAACAGGGATGTTCCCCAAGGAAAATTCACTATGACCTGTAAGCCCTGGCAAGCAAACTGAGAGATGGAAAGAACCAGGAAGGCAAAGAGTGTGACTGTGTTGCTAGAGCCTGCTCTGCACACACATCATTGACACACAGCAGTCAACAACTTGCCTGGGCCCTATCAGAACCAGATCATCCCACAGCTGGTGGACTAGGCTTTAAGTTGCCCATTTGTGCTGAGCACACTGCAGGACAGCCCCTGCGGCATCCACCCTGAGCTCTACTGACACCAACAGCAAACAGCAAAGCCATATCACCCAAACCCTGTCCAAGTCACAGCTGTCTCACTTGCTCTTGCCACTGCCCACTTAGATGGAGTGAAGATCTGGCCTTCTGAGCAGGAGTCAGCCTCAGAGTAAAAGACACACAGGGAGGAGGAGCACCGCCAACACACTGAACTCTACTGCCCATCCACAAAGAGCCCAGTGCCAGTGCTGGGCAGTACCAGATTGATGGAAACCACACCCTTTCATTTAGAATTTTTATGCATACGAGTAACCTTAATTTCCAAGTTCACATGACAATAAGCAAAAGTGACATACAGTGCAGCCAAACAGTTCATTTATAACTTAGCTTTTTTTTTTTTTGTTTTGTTTTGTTGTTTTTTTTTCCAAAGATCAGTTCCTTAAAATGGATGTTCCTGGGATGTGAATAAAGAAAATACGTCTGAAAGGTGAGGCTTTCAAACAGCAGATTTCTTCATCCTTCTGATTTCTGACCCCATGATGGTAGGCATCACACCTCATGCTTCCTGCTTGCCCTCTTCCTGGAGGTGAGCACACATGGGCCCTTCATTTGGAGAAGCTGGTCAGGCCCATCTCCTCCTCCCCCTGCAGTAGTGCTTCAATGGGAATCAGATTGGACGGGGTGTCCATGCTCTGGAGGGACAGGAACTCTGACACATCCATGGCACTTAACATTTCTGTCTCAGGGTCTGAAGGAGCCTTGGCCTATCTGCTTTGCTCACAGGAAGAGGGTTTGTGGAGGATGATGACAGGCGACAGGGGTGAGGAAAAAGTCTGGGGTGGCAGCTGTGGGCTGGGACCATCAGGAGGCTGGGGATTCAGCTCTGGAGGGGGGGAAGAACAGCCCTTTCTCCAGGCAGCCACCCACTACTTTGCAGAGTCCCGACATGCACACTGACACTGACACGCCTCCTCTTGTTTGATGATGATCACAGGAACACTGAGGCCAATCTGCTGGACAGAGCTCCCTGTGAGAGAGGCGAGAGAGACTGCTCTTCAAGTAGTTGAGGGCAGAGGCCTGAGGGACAGGGATGAATGGCCTGTGTGAGGGCTGAGTGCCAAGGAGGCAGGATGCTGGGAAGAATGGGTGCCACACTCCAGGCTTTGTTCTGCTTTAAACTGGACCAAGTTCCTTCTGGGGGGGTGGGGGAAAGGGCTCTGACACTCCCCAACCCTCCAAAACAAAGCCCCTTCCTTAGAGAGCCACACACCCATCTAGATGCACCTTCCTTCTCTGCTATGCCTCTAAGGCAGGCATGGTTGATGCCTCCGTTCTCCTGACATCTTCTTCATACCTCTGGGCCTCTGGGCTCTTCCTTTTGCCTAAACTCCCCCAGGACCATTGTTCTTCTGTAGAACTTGGTCTCATCTTTTAACACCCAGCTGACTGCCCTCCTCTTGCTGCCCAGGCAGTGCTTCCCTGCAGGCTATGCAGAGCCCTGGCTTTGGAGAAGCTCTTCCAGGCTGCCTGGTATCCATGCCCAGCACTGCTGCCATCCACCTGCAGCCCTCTCCACAGGCATAGGACCTGTTCAGACTGAGCTCCTCAGGCTGTCCCACTCCTGTGTGGCCCCAGTGTCTGACACATGGTAGACAGAGTGGATCTCCTTTTACATAGCCAGCCTGGCGTGGGTACACGTTCATATTCACTCTCATTGTCTCTCTCATGTGTGCTGTGCACTCACGCTCTGAATTTGGCCCAGAATTCAGCCAGGCCGTGTGTCTCAACAGAGGCAAAGAGCAAGGAACAGGAGAGATGGGTGGGGCCAAGGAGGCCTGAGAGCTAGTGCTCTGGCTTTCCCACAAGTTCACTTATGACCTTGAGGGAGTCATTTAATTTGTTTGGGTCCCAGTTTCTTAATCCACAAAAGAAAGAGTTTAAAATTAAAGGATCTTTCAGCTATGCATGAGTCTCTGACCCAGATGCTATTTCTTCCTTACTGTAATTAGAAAAGAGTCCAGTGAATTAACAACTGCCCTCTTTAGCATTAACTGTGATTCAAAAATTTTTCCTGGCTTATGTTTAAAAGATGTATCTGAAAGGAAAAGAACTCTAGGTAAAGAATAATAAACATGGAATTTATACTAGAATTACATTAACTTCCAGTAGTTGTGAAACATGAAATATGCTAATAAACAGTACAATGGGGATTTAATTGAGGCTGTTTAAAGACTTTCGAAGTTTTAAAAACCAGGGCAAAGCAATAATTTACTCTGACTCAAGGGGCCCAGGGAGTTGACTTTCTTTTAAAGCTAACATGGAGTTACATACCTGTGCTACTGGCTACTGGTACTGCAGTGGTAAAAAACACCTTCTCAACTTTAGATGCTTGTTGCTGGGGGGAAAAAAAAATCACACTTATGGCCAGTCAAATATGGCAGACATCCAAAGTCCTGAAGCCTCCCATCCAAGAGGACAGAAACCCTTCAGTGTTTAGGGAATTTTGTACTGAGTGATGTTTTGTTTGTGCTCTGACATGAGGCCTCTGTACTGTTTGACATTCCATCCTGACAATGTAGCTAGCTGGCTATCTCCCAGCTGCCTAATCCAGTGGGTTCTGCAAGTTCAAAGGCTTCTTCAAGGTTTTTTTTTTTTTTTTTTTTTTTCAAGCTGACGGTCTCCTCAGAGGGAGCCTAAGGCTAGCTTTCCCTGTAGGCTACCCACTCCTCTATCCTATTCTGTGAAAGCTGGAAAGTTCTTTTCTTCCTCTCAGGGATTAAGCTGAATGCTAAGGAACTTATATGTTTCTCAGTTTTCTGCATGTTTCAGAAAATGCAGTGTGCAACCAGGCATATACTCGGCTCTCAAAGGACATTGAAATGAATGAGTCATCAGACCAAATGCTTCCTTATCACACTAATATACTTCCTATTAAGTTGACTAAAGGGTTTCTGTTTTCTTCATCTTTTATTCCTTAAAAAAAAAAAAAATGCCTCAGGATGATCTGAGACAAAGTGAAAGTCTCTGGCTAAGTTATAGGAGATGACACTATAAAACAAGCTGAAAACATGAGACCCCTATTTATTATGTGGAAGAAGAATGACACTTGTTTCATGCAGTTCCACAGGGAAGATGTGGGGGGTGGGGGGACACCAACTCTATGGAGGCAGATTGGATCACAACACTGGAAAGGCCTTTTCATGACGCTGCCTATCTATAATGGAAACAGGATGTCTTGAGAACTGGTTGGCACGCCATTTCTGAAATTTGAGTGTTCAAATTATTTAGTCCGAAGCTACTTTTCCAGTTTATTTATATCTACCTACAAATTCTCCTACCTGGTATATCCTTTTCTCTATCCAGTTTCTACCCATGTCAAGGCTCACCTGATCTGTGTGACACCCAATAATTCCTTCCCCTTAGTGTATGAATCCCTCATCTAGCCACACAATGTAAAAACCAAGAGCACAGGCTCTGGGATTGGTCTGCCTATGCTCAAATCCCAGCTTTTCCTCTGTAAGTTGTGTGACTTTGGGCTAGTCACATAACCTCTCTGGACCTTAGCTATCCATTACTAAAACCACACCTGTCTCCTAGGATTGTTGTAATGTGTTAAGTTCTTGTTAACACAGTATATGACATATAGAGATACATACTGAGGCAGTAAGAACTGTGTTGGGGGGTGAAGTATATAAGGGTACTATCTGTTCAATAAAATCTAAAAATTATGTAAGTAAAAAATAATGTATGTAAGTAATGATTGGCACATGTTAGACCTTCAGTTTATAAAAATCTTAAGTTAGGTGTGGTGGCATGTGCCTACAGTCCCAGCTATTGGGAGGCTGAGGCAGGAGAATTGCTTGAGCCTAGGAGCTCAAGATTAGCCTAGGCAACACAGTGAGACTCTGCTCAAGAAAAAAAAGGAAAGAAAGAAGGAAGAAGGGTTCAATAAATAAGAGCTGTTTTTTTGTTTTGTTTTGTTTTTAATCACTATTATTGTCATTTGGCACTTTACTGGTAATATGAACTTTCTTTTAGGCATTTCATCAATTTTAACCTGAATGTAAGTCTTTATGGAAAAAGAAATCATGTTTCTCGGTTTTCTGCATGTTTCAGAAAATGCAGTGTGTAACCAGGCATATACTCGGCTCTCAAAGGACACTGAAATGAATGAGTCATCAGATCAAATGCTTCCTTAGAAAATGGTTGTAAGGGAGCAGGGATGTGGCTCAGTGGTACAGGGCTTGCCTAGCATGCATAAGGCCTGGGTTCAATTCCCAACACTGCAAAAGAAAAGAAAATGGCTCTAGTGGCTTTAGGATAAGCTCTGAGAGCATAGTTTATTTTTTTCACTTGGTCATTGCTGTCTGGTTATGTGTGACTCAGTCACATCAGTCCCTTGTATCAGTCTTGGGGACAACCTGATTTTCTAAAATATTCTTGAGTCTCTGGAGTCTGTTGACTGCTTTCCTGTACTAGATGATGTGATTAAACTGCAGATAGAATATTCTTTCAAGTGTCTACTGCTAGGTAAACTTAAAGATTGTTTCTCTGCCTCTTTATCATAGGTGCTGACCACAGCATTCCCTATATTTATACCATTTGATTATGGAGAAAATAACTACAAGGGGTAATTACACATTTCAGGGTAGACATGCTAGCCATTTCCCTTTTTGCAATAAAAGCCTCTGAACACATCACCCCTGTATATACACTTCACCCCACTGGGTATATTTATATGGAATACTTACAATTTGTTCTTGGTTTTGTGGTGAACTGGTGGCACCATTTAATATCCATTGTAAGTTCTGTTCTCCCATAACTAGGCTGGGCTGCAGGATAGCCGTGTTGGGAGTTGGGGTGATGGTTATGGTGGGATTATTAGTTAGGACAGAGTTGGCACCCAGAGGCAGAGTCTGGACCATGGCTGGCAAGGGCTCAGTAGTACTTTGTGGTGGGGCTGGTGTTGCCACGGCCGATGCCACCGCCGCTGCTGATGCAGAAGCCCCAGCAACAACGGAAAGTCCTGGTACGATGGGCTGCGGTGCCTGGGGATGCGGAAGAAACTCTTGATGATTAGCAGCAAACTGCGCGCTGTGGGGAACAGGCACTTCTGGAGGTTGTAAGAGAGCAGGGGGGTTGCCAAATGCAGCTTGCTGGGAACCGGGTCCTAGGGAGGGAGCAGGTGGAGGAGCGGACGGAGCTGAGGCTGGCAGCAGAGGCTGGGGTGGCTCGGAGAGGCCAGGCTGCAGTACAAGCGGAAGAGATAAAGATGCTGAATTTCCTGCAGGTGGTGGAACATCACTGACTGATTCTGCATCACCATTAAAACTTTCAATCAAGGCAGCTGGCAAGAAAAAGAAATAGAAACATATATCCATATCCCAAGCTTTACATGAGCCATAAAAACATAGTTATTATGGGCTAAACAGGACAGTGACAGTTAGCTGCAGCCAATTCCTTTACAGCTAGTAGGCTGGCTTTCTGCTTTCATTTAGTGACACCTCTGGTCAATGTAACAGGTTTCATGATCAACCATTCTTCCTCAATGTGATAACCTAGTAAAAGTTTTATGATTTTAAAAAAATGTGTACTAAGTTCTTTCTGGAAGAGACTAGGCATTCTTTTCTGGACATGACTATTCAGTATAGTTTGCGACGACTGTGAAGCTTTATAGACAGATTACCGTTCAAACACAATATGATTTAAGCCTGGTTAGTAGGTCCTACCCATGTATGAACAGGGTATCACATCTAAAGGCAAAGTTCACAGCTCCTACTTAAAGCCAAAAAGAGATTCTGGAAAAAAGAAACCCTTTTCTTCCAGACCCAAGAAAAGTTGCAAGAACAGATGGAACTGAAATGAAAGGCCCATCCTTCTCTGACCCTCCACAGAAGGTCTGCTTCTTTTAAGCTAATTGAAATATTTCATTGTGCCTGTAATTTGGTATGTCAACAAGTGAACCCCCTTTCCCAGGGCTGAGATGTGAGCAGAAAGAGTCTGTGTAACCAACCTGTCTGCTGAGGATCTTCCTGAATTGCTGATTCATCTGAATTCTGGAACATCGATTCAAAGATGACTGCTGGTGAAATTGTGCTGAGGTCCTGGCCCTGTGTCTGATCAAGAGAGACAGAGATGTGACACTCTCCATCCTGAGACAATTCCTCACCACCAGAGAGTATATTCAGGGTGGCTGAACTAGAATGATCTTTTGGTATGCTTCTTGTTTCTACCTTCTCATATTTCAAGTGACATGCATTTCCCTAAAACTTAAGATACTGAAGATATGGGTCTTCAGGAGCTAGCAAGTTATGACTTGTAGATTGATTTCCGGTTTTTATAAATAAAAGTTTTACAGGAACACAGGCACACTCATTCATTGATAGATTATGCTGCTTTCATGATATACCTGCAGAGCTGAAAAGTTGTGACAGAGATCATGTGGTCCACAGGTTCTAAAACATTTACTAACTGGCCCTTTATAAGAAAGGCTTGCCAATCTCTGTTCTAAAAGAGCAAATCCCACATAAAATGGGATTATATAATATCCATTACTGCTATGTTTTTTTTTGTCCTTTCTGAAACTCATATTAGAGTTTAATCCCCTTTATGAGCTATTGAAGGGTACCTCACACTATGGTGTTTAGAGGGGGAGCCTTTGGATGGTGATCAGGATTAGACAAGGTCATCTGGATGGAGCTTCCATGATGAAATACTAGTGGCTTTACCAGAAGGAAAGAGACCAGGATATACACACATGCACACTTCCTGTCTCTCACCACATGATGCCCTACACCACCTCAGGGTTCTGCCAGCAAGAAGATCATCAACCAGTGTGGCCCCTCAACTTTGAACCTCCAGAATCATGAGCCAAAGTAACACACTTTTCTTTAAAATAGTCTGGAGCCAGGCACAGTGGCACCTGTAATCCCAGCAACTCCAGAGGCTGAAGCAGGAGGATTGCAAGTTTGAGGGCAGCCTCAGCCTCAACAACTTAGGAGGCTGTATACAACTTAGTGAGACCCCATCTCAAAAATAACAACAACAATAACAAAAAGGACTGGGGGTGCTGGGGTTGTGGTTCAGTGGTAGAGGACTTGCCTAGCATGTGTGAGGCATTGGGTTCGAGTGTCAGCACCGCATATAAATAAATAAAATAAATATTCATAGTCAACTGAAAAAAATATATATTTATTTAAAAAAAAAAGAAAGGAAGAAAAGAACTGGGGGTATAGCTGAGTGGTAAAGCACCTCTGGGTTCAATCTCAGTACCAGGAATAAATAGATTAGATAGAGAGATAGATAGATAGATAGATAGATACATACATACATACATAAAACTTAGACTATGGTACTTTTGTAATTAGCAACAGAAAATAGACCAAGACAATTGCCATCCAACTTGCCTTTCTCAGGTAATAATGACACTGTAAATGTCTTTCAGGGTCATTACATATTATCTGTGATATTCTAATGTGTATATGTGATAAAAAATCATAAAAAAATCAAACAATACAAAGAAACTTAAATAGTGATGCCCTTAATAAAACACTAGCAGCACTTAAAAAACAAAATGAACCAGGGTGGAGGTGGGTGAGGAGGACACAGCACGATGCCCTGGAGGGCCTAACTACTAATATTCACTAAATAAAATGACCACTCTTTATTTTAGTTAAGGGGAGGGGAAAACTGCAATTCTTTTATCTACAATCCACTTCCACCCTGCATTCTGCAGGGCAAGAGTGTCAAAGGCAACTGCCTACAGAAGTCCAGGCGAGCAAGAGAAATGAGTGAAGCTGGATGTGGTACACCTAAACAGATGCACCTCAGCTGTCCTCAGGGTTCAGCTGAATGCTGCAAGGATCACCAGAGCTCAAGATGAGGCTGAAATCTGGAGTTTTAAGGTGAAATCTACTAACTTATAAATAAAAGCAAGTGATTTTGAATCTAAGAGTACTGACCAATCTAAAACCTATCTTCAGGTCAGATCTCCCCAGTGCCAACTAGTGTTTCTGGGTTGTTTTTCAACAACTCTGCTTCTGGGAAGGAGAACTCAAGGACTGCCCAGGGTTGGGTAGAATCATGGTAAACTGAGGACAGCTCTCCAATCTGAAGGTCCTGAGATGAAAATGTCCATGAGAGCCAAGAGGGACCAATTATTCCATCTTGATTTCATCAGCTGGAAGAATGAAGGAGGAAGTTCAGTAATTCTGATTGCTAGTAGGATAAAAGCTGAAGGCAGAAAATTATGCAGGACTTCTAACTTCCAGTCCAGGGGGAATTAAGACTCAAAGCCAAGAGTACGGCTTTCAAATTTTTCATTGTGACACAAAGAAATACATTTTACAATCTGGGTGTGGTGGCACATACATGTCTGTAATCCCAGTGACTTGGGAGGCTGAGGCAGGAGGACTGCAAGGTCAAGGCCAGTCCCAGCAATTTAATAAGGCCCTGAGCAACTTAGCAAAATGCTGTCTCAAAGTAAAAAAAAAATTAAAAGGGCTGGGGATGTAGCTCAGTGGTCAAGTGCCCCTGGGTCCAACCCCTAGTACCAAAAAACAAAACAAACAAGAAAATTTTTATATCACACACACACTTTATCATACATATTTTGTGGGGAGCCATTCTCACACGTGATCGGGTGCCTCCCGTTAAGGATCTGAGGCACTTTGGCAAAAGTCGAAGTTTTTCCCGGCCCTTTCCTGATGAGAGAGCCCATCCGTGTGGGGGTGTGCCTGACCACTGACCCCGAGGACCCAATCACTGACCCTGACCTTGGAGTGCAGCCCCCCCTCAACCTTCATTGGATGGAATTCTCCCCTGAATCTCTTGTTCCCTAATAAAAGGCTAGTCCCCGGCATGCTCTCTCTCTCTCTCCTGCTAGCCCTGAGTAATCCTTGCTGCCCTGCTGGGCGGCTAGAGGAGCGAACCAGAGAGGGGAGCYGTCTCGGACCTAGCAATAGAAATAAGGTAATTGAGTCTTGTGTTTTTATTTCAATCTCTTCTAACTAACTTTATGCCTAGAACCTCATTAATGAAACCACTGCGCAGGCCGCGTGGTAGAACATTTATCTGCACAAATGGCTAATAACTACCATTAAGCTGTAAGCTTTTTAGTTTACTCATGGTTGTTATTTTTGTTCTACCTATTTATAAATCCTTATTAGTAATTAACAACAGTAAAAAGGAATGAGTTGTATTTGTCAATGATATCTATATAACTTTGCAAAGGCTGGGGGGGGGGGAATAGCCTATATGCCTCCAAAAGATGTGCAAGAATGTTCATAGCAACACTCTTCATAATGGCTCCAAACTAGAAAAAAAAAGAACAGTGGGGTATCTTTATTTAGTTTAACACTGTTCAACAACCAAATGAATGATCTGTAACTATATGCAACAATATGCATTAAATTCCTAAACATATGTTGCAAGAAAAAAGCCAGATGAAAAATCTACAATTCCAACTACAAAAGCAGAAAAATTAAGATGTTAGAAGTCAAGACAATGGTTATCCTTAAGGAGAGAGAATGGCTACTGAGGGGCAGGGTGCAGGAGTGCTGGGAACATCTGGATGAAATAAACTGTGATCCATCAAAGTGTGCATTTATGATACCTTGCCCTTTTCTGTGAAAAGTGCTAAGTCACTGCCAGGCTTCAGGATAGAATCCCTAGGAATAAGTGGGACTGGCTTTCAAAACTAGAGGAGACAGAATAGCCTGAGCTTCTGGGTCCTGGAGCACAGAGTAGAAGAACACTGGATCCTAAAACTAAGCAAACAAAAGACCCAATCAGCCATTCCTTAGCAGCTCTAACCCTCCTTTAACAAAGGGTCTGAGTGAACCAAAGTTCATTTCCTTTTTGTTTTTTTTGGTGCTGGGAATCCAACCCAGGGCCTTGTGCATGCAATGCAAGCACTCTACCAACTGAGCTATAACCCCAGCCCCCAAAGTTCATTCCTAAGACATGCACGCATTATGTGGAAGAACTCTGAAACTGGCAAAGTGATTATCTCATACAAATTTGCCATCAAGTTCTAATTTTTAAAAAGCAAAGCAAAATTAATCCCACTGCTTCAAGGAACTGTGGCCTTTGTTTGAAAGAATAAAAGCAAACTCTTTCTAAATCTGGGATAAATGCTGGGTCCAGGGGCATAATGTATAGTTAGACTCCAAGGGAGAGGGTTTCTCTCTCTTGATTATGTAAATTGTGGTAGAAAAGTAATCTTTTTTTTAAAGACAAGTTATTATTTTCTCCTTATACCAGGTATTCCCCTGGTGACCTGAGGACTCTGGAAAGCTCCTCAGTCACATGTCACAGCCCTGACCAGAGTGGATGCCCTAAGCCATTTAACACAGTTAAATGTTAAAGAAATATTATACCCAAAATCTTAAGTTAGGTAATTCACAGGGCATCTAGGCCACCAAGTGTGTAAATTTCTTTCAGAACTAATGTTCTAAAATAGAAATAAAATGAAATATGCATATGAAGTGCTTTATTTTTTCTCTTTATTCTTCAGATTGATCTATCTTCAATTTAACAAATCAATCCTTCCTTCCTACCTTATCTTTTTGGTACTGGGGATGGGACCCAGGGCCTCTACACATGCTAGGCAAGCACTCTATCACTGACCTACATCCCCTAGCCTTTTATATTTTTTATTTTAACACAGGGTCTTGCTAAGTTACCCAGCCTGGCCTTGAACTTGGGATCCTCCTGTATCAGCCTTCCAAGTAGTTGGGATTGCAGGTGTGTGCAACTGCACCTGTTGCCCTTTTGGTTTTAAACCAGTGTCTTCACATAGTTGCTTTTTATGTTTTATCCAGTGTTTATAACTGTTTTCTGTATGAGGGCTAGTTTCATAAGAACAACTCTGCCATTACCAGAAGGAGAATCCATGCCATAGGGTGCTTATATAAAAATGCAGCTCAGATGCCACTCCCAGAAACACTGACTCAGTAAGCTTAGGGAGAGGCCCAAGAACCTACATGTTTAATTAATTACTTAATTTTTATATTTTTGAGATGAAATCTCCTTATGTTGTCCAGGCTGGTCTCAAACTCCTGGGCTCCTGTGATCCTCCTGTCTCAGCCTCCAGAGTAGCTGGGATTATAGGTATGACTATCATGGCCAGTTAAGAACCTGCATTTTAAGAAGTGCTGCAGTTGAATCCACTAACCATACTTTAATAAACACTTTTCATAGCATTCCTAAATCCTTCAGTTTCTATTCAAATATTTTCAATTACATTTATTCATTATGCATACAGTGACAGAAAATCTAGCCTAAGTTGTTGTTATTTTCTAGGAAAGAACAAACTCTAAATTAGTGTTGGCAACACAGGAAAATGTTCAGATTTTATGAAAGAAGACCACATAAATTCAGACTCGATGCAGTGGTTTGTAAGTACTATCATGGAGTCACGGAAATGGCAAGAAACTTCCTACTGGTGTGAATCAAAGTAATCAGATTGAGATAGAGTGGGCTTGTCCTGTAACAGAGTCCTCTATAGAAGTTCCCTTCAAAAACTCATTAAGGTGAGTTTAAAGGAGAAAAGAGACTAAGCCAGATCACTCAGGCAGAGTTTGAGAAGGTCTAGAAACTGGACTTTCTGGCTACATCTTACAATGCTAGACTTTAGACTCCTCAAAGACGATCCATACCTTCTTTGTTGCCACTATCAGCTCAGCACTGGCACAATGCCTGATTAAGTAGTATTCAATCAATATTTGCTAAATGAATTTTAAATAGGAAAAAAGAAAAAAAGAAACTTTCTGGGGCCAAGAGGCTATCAACTGAGTGACCTGGGTCAAAAGGCATTAGGTGACAGAACAATTTTTCCTGATAAAAATCTGATCAGCAGAAAGAGGAAAAAAAAAATCCTAAATGGTCAGTGATTAAGCCCAATTAAATCTAGAAGACTTCAGTCTGGTCTTCCTCAATTATCCACCAAAGGGAATGCTCGACTTTTGCATCTATATTTCTAGCACCCACACCCCAGGTACACTTACTGTATTGGAATTTTCTTGCAGTTCTGAATCTGTGGACAGAAGGCACAAGTCACTCAGGTAAAGTGAGTGATTTGTATCCTGTGAAAGAGAAAAAAAAATTAATTTAAGTAACATAAATCAGGATTTATACACACCGTACTACATAACAAAACCTTAAGGTTCTAAATGTCTGTGTGTTACCTGTATGAACCATCCAAAGAAAGACCTAAGTAAATTATTTCACTTTTTAAAATCTTCATATTCTTTTTTTTTTTTTTGGTAACGGGGATTAAACTCAGGGGCATTTGACCACTGAGCCACATCCCCAACCCTGTTTTGTATTTTATTTAGAGACAGGGTCTCACTGAGTTGCTTAGCACCTAGCTGTTGCTGAAGCTGGCTTTGAACTCAATCCTCCTGTCTCAACCTCGCAAGGTGCTGGGATAACAATCGTAAGCCACTGTGCCCAGCTCCATATTCTTTGTTTTTTTGGTACTGGGGATTGAAAGCAGGGGTGCTGCTTACCCACTGAGCCACATCGCCAGCCCTGCCCTTTTAAATATTTTTTTAGTTGGAGACAGACACAATACCTTTATTTTATTTTTTTATTTTTATGTGGTGCTAGGAGTTAAGGATTGAACCCAATGTCTCACACATGCTAGGCAAATGCTCTACCAGCTGAGCTACAACCCCAGTCCCCCAGCCCTTTTTGCACTTTTTATTTTGAGTCAGGGCCTTGCTAAGTTGCTTAGGACCTTACCAAGTTGCCCAGGCTGGCCTCCAAATTGCAATCCTCCTGCCTCAGTCTCCTGGGCTGCTGGGATTACAGGCATGCACCACTACAACCAGCTAAATATCTCCATATTCCTAAGAGAAACTCTTATATTTTTAAAAGATGGTTAAAAAGAATTCTTAAATTATCTCACAACCCAGGTTAAGTAACAAAAACTATCAAATTCATAATATTTGTATAATTGTTTTCATCATTTCCAAAGTGATATCACAAGATTCATTTGCTATTCATATAAACCCTGGAAGTATTATTGTCTACCTCATTTGAAATATGAGAAAATTAATGCTATGACAGTTGGAGTGATATGCCCTAAACACATAGCTAATTAGCATTAGATAAACCTAGGGCTTCTGACTGAAAAGTCAACACTCCTTCCATTATATCACATGTCTCCAACATAGGTACCTGAGAGTTCCTTACTCAGAAAGTACTGAGGAATAACTATTCAAATTCTGCTGCTCGGGCTAACTCTTGAGCTCTGGATTCTAGAATGTCAGTCTCAATTCATATGCTTTAGGTGGTGACCCTGCTTACCTCAAGTGGATCAGATAGTCCCACTCAAGCATGCATGCATTCAACACATACAGTGGTCCCCCCTTATCTATAGTTCTACTTTTCAAATTCAGTTACCCAGGGGCAACTGTGGTCCAAAAATGTTAAACTCCAGAAATAAATGACTCCTAAGTTTTAAATTGTGCATCATTCTGAGTAGTGTGATGAAATCTTGTGCCATCCATTTCTACCCCTTTTATCCAGGCTGCACACTCTACCACCTACTAGTCACTCTATAGACATCTAGATAATGAGATCAAATGTCGAAGTGGTACAGTGCTTGCAATCTAGTATCACTTATCTTACTTAATAATGGCAGTGAAGCTGGCAATCTAATTACAATATGTTATTACTGTTACAGTATTGTTGCCAATTTCTTACTGTGTCTAATTTATAAATTAAGCTTAAGCATAGATATGTAAGTACAGAAAAAAGTATTTATAGGGTTCGGTATTATCTGCAGTTTTAGGCATCCACTGGGAAGCTTAGAACATGTCCCCTGAAGGTAAAGGGGAACTACTGTATTCATTGAGCATCTAAGATGTATTAGGCACTCTTCCAGGCCTAGGAATACAATAGTGAAAAAAAACTGAGTCTCTTCCCTCCCTATACAGCTTACATTCTAGTAAGGACAAATAATAATAAGTATACAGTATACAAGATGATACAAGTGCTACGGAGAGTAGGAATGCTGGGGTAGTTGTTTTTATATTAGAAGTTTAATGCCCCTCAGATAAATGAAATCTGAGCAGAGAAAACAGAACATGGGCCATGCATGTATCTAGGAAAAGTGTTCAAGCAGAGGGTACAGTAAGAAAAACCTGGCGGTAAGAGTGGGCTTTCCTTGGTTTAAGGAACCACACAGAGGACAATACAGCTAAAGAGGAAGAGAAATAGATGAGATCAGAAAAGTGACAAGGCCAGAGAGCATAGGACCACTGTAAGATTTTGATTTTACTCTACATGATACAAGCTGCTTCTCTGGAGGGGTTACGAGCAGACAACAAGCAATATCTGTGTCACAGTCTAGAAAGACTGCTCTGGCTACATATAGAACAGTCTGCAGTAGACTGGGATGGGAAGTAGAAGAAGAGGAGAAAAGGCTTAGCAAATTATTCCATTAATCCAGGCAAGAAGCTAATGAGTGAAACAATCAGAAAAGTGATCAGGTTCTAGATATATTTTCAAGGTGGAGCTGATAGTCTTTGCTGGTGGACATGGGGTGTGAGGAGAAGAAAGGAGTCAGGAGGAATTTTGGCCTCTGCCACTAGAAATTAGTTGCCATTTACTAAGACACAAAGACTGCAGAAGGAACAGTTTTGGCCATGTTAGGTTTTAGAAGATGAGATATTATCTGGGTGGAGGCATGGAGTAGATGGTTTAATATGCAAGTGTGTGGAGTTCAAGGGGAGACCAGATGGGAGATATCAATGTAGGACTTGAAGGCAACATAGATGGCATGTGAGGCCTGAGAGTAGGAAACCCCTCTACTGGAAAATGATGAAGGATTCAGAGAAGATGAGCTGTGAGGACTGAGCAGTGATACACTCCAGTGCTCAGAGGTTGTTGGCAGTTAAACTAGCCATGGAGAAAACTGAGAAATTGAGAATTAAGAAAACTGACTGTGACTAATGAAATGCAGCTTAGTACAGAAAGACTCCCATGTTTAAATTTTCTATTTGGCTTTTACAGATGAAAAAACTAAGGCACAAGAAGTCATCTGCCTAAGGTCATGTGATTAGTGACTGAACCTGGATTTGAATCCACATAGCTGGGCTCCACGGGCTACCTTCTTCACAGCTAAGGCTATTCTGTCTCTCACAACACAAGGGTTAAGAACCAGCCTCTGGAATCACACTGCCTGCCTAAATTAGACTAATTATAAGTTCTGGATATTTAGGCAAGTTATTTAATTTCTCTTTGCCTCAGTTTCTTAATTAGTAACATGGGGATTATTAGTAACACCCTCATAGAGATCTTGTAGATAATACATATAAAAGCACTTAGCAAGTTTCCTGGCACATATTTAACATTCAGTAAGTGTTAGCTATTATTACTAATGAAACTCAGGGCCTGGAGAAGAATCCTTTTAAATGGATTCTTTATTGTTTAAAAATTGGAAACTCTAGAATTAGAATATTCTGTCTCTACCGAAATCAAAATCATGCTATATATTTTAAGAGTATTCCAAAGAAAGTCAGTGAATTTGCAAGTCTGAAGTTCAGAGACCAGGCTGGAGACTCAATGGCAATACAAGTGGCATGGCCTAGATAGAGGCGATTCCCTTCTTCTGGAGAATGAACATGGATGCAGAGAAGATGGGAGGCAAATTTGTGGGGAGGTAGAAGGCAGGAGGAAAAGCTGCTAAAAAGCCCACTTAGTCCATTATTCCAATAATCCAGGCTGGGGTGGGGGGAAATGGATTGAACAAAAATGTAATCCGAATAAGTCATCAGATTCTAGATATATTCTCAAGGTACAACTGAAGACTTTGCTCTATCAGCTTCAGTTTCTTTATCCATAAAACAATAAGAAAATAATAGCACTTACTTTTCAGGCTTAATAGGTCAGTGCTTAAACCCTATTAAAAGTAATAACAGTAAATACTGATCCCAAGATCTTTCTGGAATGGAGTGGTAGCTTCAGGGGACCAGGAAATATGGAGGGACTCAGTAAAGAAAATTAAACAAAACCTAAAACTCCTCAGAGGCTTATTCTGTGGCTCAGTGTCTTAAGCTAGTAACTCTTAAACCTTTTGGTTTACAAACACTTCAAACAGGCCAGGACAAGAGATTCTTCTCCAGCCTTTGCTTGGCTCTCCAATGACAGGTTGTGTGAAGAACATAAATTTATGTCCCAAACTCAAGTACATATTTGCCACTTTATAGGTATAAAGATGGAAGAGGACACTCTGTAGAGCATCTGGCTGACCCTTTGAAAGCCACTCTGAGACCTCTGGGTTCAAGGGCACTTTCTTCCACCATACCTGATGGAAATGAGGCAGAGCTGAAGAAGAGACTAAAAGACAGAATGTCTGGTGAGATTTCTGGCTTCCACCACCACTCCATTGCAAAGCCATAGATTTTGTCCCTGATTTCTCCCCTCTCAATATCAAATATGTAAAGAAGACATTTCAACCTTTTTTGTGTGAGACACAAACGGTTGCTGTTTTGTGATGCTCAGATCAAAACAAGAGAGAAGAACACTGCGCACCTCTGATCCGTTGTGTTGTGGAAGTGCATTGTATGAGTGTCCTTTGTTATCATGACCTTTCATGTGACTTTTGAGACTGTATTGAGTGCTGAATGTTTTCTCACAGCCATTACTCGGGCAGAAGAAGGGTCTTTCACCTGCAAGAATGACAAAGTAGTGTTAATTTCACCATAAACTCATTTAGCTGGTTTAAGAACCTACCTTTTCCTAATGGGGGGGAAGTAAAATTCTTATGAGGGTTTGGGTAATAGTTGTTAAAAGGTGAGTAAACTACATGCTAATTATCTCAGTTCTGAAACTTAATGCAGAGCAAAGCACAGGATATAGCTCACTCCTGGAAGTTTTTTATCTTTAATTTTTAAAAATATTTTTCTTGGGCTAGGGTGGTGGCTCAGTGGCAGAGCGCTTGCCTTGCACATGTGAGGCACTGGGTTCGATCCTCAACACCACATTAAAAAAAAATAAAACAAAATAAAGATATTGTGTTCATGTATAGCTAAAAAAATATTTTAAAAAAATATTTTTCTTTAGCTGTAGATGGACACAATGACTTTTATTTGTTTATGTTTATGTGGAGGATCGAACCCAGTGTCTCACACATGCTGGGTGAGCACTCTACCACTGAGCCACAACCCCAGCCTACCCAGGAAGTTTAAAGGGAAGATTCACTTTCTTACAGGTTCTTTTTAAAAGAATATTTCTGTACTGGTTTCATTTCTTAAAGTTGGATTCCTGAGTTCAACCTTTAGATTCTTTCACCTCTGAAAGAAACTCAAACATTATTAGGTGAAGGCTAAGCTTATTAGGCTCACTTCTCCCACCTAGTTTAACAGGTCTCAATGGAAACACACATACTTAGTTTCAGGATTGATGCAGGTTAAAATGAAAAATAGAAACTAGCCTCAACTCACCGGTATGTGTACGGACATGAGTTTTAAGGTGGTGGCTTGCTGCAAATGCTTTTCCACAGCCATCATGATCACATCTAAACAAGTTGTTAAAGCAAAGAGAAACAGAGTCATTAGCTAAGAGTCCTTAATCCTCAACATCTCTTGTAAATGCAAACTATACATTCAAAACACTAAGATTAGATCAATAAAACTGGTTTTAGAGATGGCAATGATGGGAGGCCCCTGAAAGATAAGGTGGCACATCTGGGGTCAGAGGCATCAGAGAGCTCAGGATAAGTTCTTATAGTCTGGTAGGTAAGGCCCAGTTAAGAAGCTGATACAAAAGTCTTTAGTTAATTACTTAAGAGAACTCTACTGACAGAGCCCACGTGGAAAATCTACAGTAAAATACTACAAATATCAAGAGTGGGTAAAGAGGCCATCATATATGCACAAGGTTGAAATACAACCTTAGAACATAATCCATTACAACAGTTTGGCTATCACCTGTAATCTTCAGTGTAGAGACTCACTTCTTTCTCTTTTACTTTCTTGATTTTTTTTTCTTGGTGATATAGGGAGTTGAACCCAGAGACTTGTGCAATTATGGGCAAGTGCTTTACCACTGAGCTACATCATCAGCCCTCCCTTTTACTTTCTTGATAATCAAAGCTAGAATTAACCTTTCCCTCCTTAGAATTACTAAGACAAGCATTTATCTACATGCTTCTTTTACAGCATCTCTCAATTCTAATCTTGTTTTATCTCTCTGTGTATACATTTATTATCTGTTCTCCTAGATAGTAAACTCTATAAGGGCAGGGTCCACATAGCCCTTCATATTTGCTGTTGTTTTTGCACACATTTAATAATTATGTGAACATTTAATAATTATGAATATTAACAAATCCATTTTTTAATTCAAAATATCTTATTTCTTTGAAGTAGAAAGCTTCTCTAAGGCATTTTTTGGGGAGGAGGGTACCAGGAATTGAACTCAGGGGCACTCGACCACTGAGCCACATTCCCAGCCCTATTTTGTATTTTATTTAGAGACAGGGTCTCACTGAGTTGCTTAGTGCCTCACTTTTGCTGAGGCTGGCTTTGAACTCACAATCCTCTTGCTTCAGCCTCCCAAGCCCTGGAATTACAGGTGTGCACCACCATGCCTGGCTGGCACTTTCATTTTTTAAATTACATATAATCATTATCATTGTCTAAAATCCCATCTAATATTCATGAAAAAAAGTTTTAATCATCACAAAAATAAATGCATATGCCTAGTCAGAAATCATAATCCTCTCAGCAGCCTATGTGGGGGTGGGGGGAGAAAAAACAACCTAAGCTTCACAGCAACTGCAGAATAACTAACTAGAATTTAACCACTCTTGTTCTTAAAGGGGCCATGACTCCAAAGTACATCTGTTATTTATTTATTTATTTATCTATATTTTTTTATTTTTTATTTTTTTATTAGCTACACATGACAGTACATCTGTAATTTAAAGTTAGTTCCTTTTAATTGGTATCTAAAAGCTGACTGTATCTGAAGACTTTTAAATTGTTTCTAAGTGTTTGGATGAGGAGATGAGTGATTTGAGAATGGACAGGTAGCATATTTAATGCCTTGAATATAATAGCAATATCTCCTGCCAAAATTAAAAAATACTGTTTATGGGAAATCTTTGGCAACACATTTATATTACACTAAGGGGGATTCTTACAAAACAATTATTTCATAGAAATGTCATATAATCATTTCATAGATGTTTCTGAGGGCCTACTGAATGACTGGAACCATGCTACATGTTATGAACAGGAAAGCAAGCAGATGAAACAAGTCCCTCCTTCAGGTTTATAAATTTGTTTCATGAATATATATGTGTATATGTACACTAATATATATGTAAAATGGATGGTCCAGTGTGTGTGTGTATACACATGTGAGATATTACAAAGCAACAACTGAACAAATAACAAAATACAATACTTCACCACTAACTTAAGCATTCCTACCTCTCACTTTCCCTTGTGTCCCTCCTCCTTGCCCCGCTTCAATTACTTTTTTTTTTTTTTTTTTGTACTGGGGACTGAACCCAGGGCTTTGCACACTGAATACTGAGCTACAGACTCAGCTCTTTTTATTTTATTTTTAGGGTCTCACACTAAGTTGTCAAGTCCAGCCTCAAACTTGCAATTCTTTTTTTTTTTTAATATTTATTTTTTAGGTATAGATGGACACAACACAACACCTTTATTTTTATGTGGTGCTGAGGATTGAACCCGGGTCCCGCCCGTGCTCTACCGCTGAGCCACAATCCCAGCCCTGAAACTTGCAATTCTTCTGCCTCAGCCTCCCAAGTAGCTGGGACTACAGGTGCCCAACACCGTGCCCAGGTCTTATTTCAATTTTTTAGTAGGTATCTCTCTTTGGTTCTCAAGCCTTAGACAACGTCTACTAATTTGTGTTTCTTCTCCACCAGGCCAAGGCTGTTAAGGAAGGCCTGCTTCTTAGTATTTCTCTAGCACTAATAACAGTATGTATCACATACGTGAGTTCAAGGAATATTTCTTGAAAATAAAGGGGAAAAAATAAGGCAGAAAGACCATCATCCACAGAGCAGTGATGCTCCTGGAGTCCAACTGCACCCCTCTAATTCCTGGCAGTTGGTTACAGCTATCGTGGGGTGAGCCAACATGGCCAAAGAAAGAACTAGTAAAGGGAGTTTTCTTTCTACTTTGAAAAATTCCTAGAGTTTATCAAGATACCCAGCTGAAACCTAGTGAGTGACAAATAGGAAAACAGTAAGACTTACCGAAATGGCTTTTCTCCTGTATGGGTTCGAATGTGCTTCCTCAGATCACTGAGTGTGGTGAAGTATTTGCTGCAGCCTTCAGATTCACAGTTAAATGTTTTCCCTGTGTGAAGCCTCTGATGTGCTTTCAGCCTGAAAAATAGCCCAGAGAAATGCCCACTGACACAATGTACTATACAACTTCCCCAAGCCAGCTTAATATGCTTCAGGATCAAGTGCATAAGAATTATACACCCACGAGAATTTGGCACCCATTTTAGTATGTCAAAATTTTCACCTGAAGAGAAATTCAGGAGTAAATAACATACTGGTATAAATGTTCCAGAGACAGTCATGCAACCTCTCTGTGCTTCCACTTATTTATTAGCTGTTGTGAAGGACTAATACTTAAAAGACCAGTGTGTGTTTCTTTTCTTGTTTTTTTTTTTTTTTTTTTTTTTTTTTTTTTGGTAATAAGAATTGAATTCAGGGGCACTTAACCACTGAGCCACATCCCCAGCCCTTTTTTATATTTTATTAGAGACAGGGTCTTGCTGAGTTGCTTAGGGCCTCGCTAAATTGCTGAGGCTGGCTTTGAACTTATGATCCTCCTGCCTCATCCTCTTGAGCCGTTGGGATTACAGGCATGCACCACTGCACCTAGTACAGTGTGTTTTCTAAATGTTAGCTATTGCTTTCTAATACTTTATATTTAATATTAGGGACTAGTGTAAATCTCTTGAAAAAAATATGGAAAAGAGAAATAGCCATCAAGTGAGTGATTCCCCATCTCTCAGGGTAGGAAGAGTTACCTTCAAGGTGAGATAGGAAAGAAAATTACAGAAGCCTTAGTATGAAGATCCTGCAGCAAGGGGAAATATTACTTTATGCAAACTACTAAAATTCTAAGGTCAGAATGTCACTTTATGAGATGCAAATCTAAATACAGATGTACTATCATTTCCGCCCAAACCAAGATATATTCATCTTTAGGTAACAAGTTTCGCTATGAATTTTAAATAGCTGGAGTAAGCTGTGCTCTCTGAAGCTCTGAAAGTGAACATCTCTCTGTGCAAGGAGAAAGAGCTCTGCAGCCATAAGGTCAGAGTCAGGCTGGTGGTGCAGTGGAGGAGAGGCTGACCTGTACAGTGTGTTGAATGCCTTCTCACAGCCCTGCACATCACACTCAAATGGCTTCTCCTTCGTGTGCACTCGCACATGGATCCTGAGGCTGTAAGAGGTGAGGAAGGCCTTGCCACAGCCCTCCTGATTACAGACGAATGTATACTCTCCTCGATGAGTCTTCTGATGGGTACGCAGGTTGCCTGCTGTGCTGTAGGTACGGGGACAGCCTTCAAAGGTGCACTGGTACCGCTTTACCTGGCAAACAGAGGACATCTCATCGATGGGACAAAAGGGCCACCCAGGGCTTAACTCCCCATGAGCTCAGTTACTAAGAGAAGTAGACAACACACATTTTTTTCATCAACACAGAAACAACATCTACTGGCAAAGTGTGGAAACTCTTTTGTTGATCAAATTACATCTGGACAATGTCTATGAATAACAGGAAAGAAATTGGCTTGTGTATAAATGAATATTCTAAATGAATATAAGGGTGTTTTTAGACTCTACATCTATCCATCAAAGAGGAACATACACTATTATACTTACCTGTATTCATATAAAACTCTTAACTTCACTTTTTTTTTTTTTTTTTTGGTACTGGGGAGTGAATCCAGGCGCGCTCAACCACTGAGCCACATCCCCAGCCTTTTTCTGTATTTAATTATTTAGAGACAGGGTCTCATTGAGTTATTTAGGGCCTCGCTAAGTTGCTGAGGCTGGCTTTTAACTTGTGATCCTCCTGCTTCAGGCTCCCAAGCCTCTGGGATTACGGCTAGTGGCACCATACCTGGCTCTTAACTTCATTTTAAAGCTTGATTTAAACACTTTACCACCTAGTGTTTTATCTCGATTACAACTAATGTTACACTGAGTTTAAAACATCTTGAAATTTATATGTTAACTATCAAACACTGTATCCCTAGGTAGTTTTTCCACTGCATATTTCGAAGTTTACAAGATGAAAAAAAAATGTATCTTGAATTTCTTGGAATATTTGTAGGTGTGATATTTCTTAAACTACCTTCAAATAATTTTTTTTTCCTTTTTGCAGTACTGAGGACCAAATCCAGGGCTTTGTGTGTGCTATGTAAGGACTTTACCACTGACCTATAATCTCATCCTTTTTTAATTTTTTTTTTGTTTTTTAGTTGTTGATAAACCTTTATTTATTTTTTATTTATTTATATGTGGTGCTGAGAATCAAACCCCATGCCTCACACATGCCAGGCAAGTATGCTACCACTGAGCCCCAGCCCCAGCCCCAGCCCCTAAATTTTATTTTTAAATAAGGTCTTGCTGGGGCTGGGAATGTGGCTCAGGCAGTAGCATGCTCCTCTGGCATGCCTGCGGCCCGGGTTCGATCCTCAGCACCACATACCAACAAAGATGTTGTGTCCGCCGAGAACTAAGAAATAAATATTAAAAAAAATTCTCTCTCTCTCTCCTCTCTCACTCTCTCTTTAAAAAAAAAAAAATACTGGCTGACTCATTCCCCCCCCTCTAATAATGTGCCCCAGAAGATCTTTTAATAAATAAATAAATAAATAAATAAATAAATAAATAAATAAGGTCTTGCTAAGTTAGGTGAGCTAGCCTTGAACTTGAGATCCTCCTGCTTCAGCCTCCTGAAGTCTCTGGGCTTATGGCATGTACCACCATGCATGGAATAAGAATCATCCATTCTTTTTAGCTTTTAACATTTTCATGTGCATAAATCTTTAATTCTGAACTTTCCAAAGCCTCAATCCACATCTCCAATTATAGTACACTACTGCTACTGTACATTAGCCATTCATTCAACAACTCCTGAACTACAGTCTCAGGTAACATGCTCCATACCACAGATTAAAAACTGAGTAGGTCAAGAATCTCTGACTTGAAGGAAAGAGCCAGTGGTAAAGGAAGACATGTATTCAAACTATTTCACCCTGTGCTAAGCTTTCAAACAGATATGTACATAAGGTGCTTTGGGAACATAAAAAGGTAACTTCTAACACTTTTCACCTGTTAGCTTTTTTGGGGGGAGCTGAAAAGGCATTCCTCAGACAAAGCAGACAGAGAAGGGTATTCCAGAAAGACAGAACAGCATGGGAATTGCACGGTGATGAGTGAGTGTGATGACACAAGCCACAAACACTTGCAGTATGTAAGAGAGATTGTAAGGAGACAAGTAGGAAAAATGAGGTGAAGCATTCCTATGTAAGCCACAGAAGAGGCCGTCAATGGGAGCCACTGACAGGTTTTGCCAAGATAGCAATACAATCAGAATTAGAATTTAGGTGAAGTCATTCTGATAGCTTTGGAGAAGACAGACTGGAAGATAAGAGCAATTAAAAGAGATGAGAAGTTCAGGAAAGAGATGAGAAGAACATAAAATAGAGAAGTAACAGTGGACATTACAAGAGATGAATCAGAGAAATTAAAAGAGCTGGAATGACCAGTTGTAACAACAAATGGGTGCTGACAAGTGGGAGAGGTAGAGAGACAAAGCAAAGACCAACCCTAAGATTACAGCCTGGATAACTAGGTAAGTGGTCAGGTTACCAGAGTGGAGCTGGGTAGGCCAGAGATGATGAAGGGCCCAGGCAGAAACGTTGGGCATAAAGTACACAGTTGGACTTTTTTATAGACTGGAAGCTAAAGAAAGTCTATGGCAGGAACCTTTAGTCTAAGAGTTACAGCCAGCTACCTGTATACTACATACAGCAGGCTCAAGTTCAAGTTCCAGCTCTGCAATTTACTGTGTAATCTTAGGAACATTAATCTCACTATGCCTCAACTTTCTTATTTTGTCTTTTTAGGATTGCTATAAGGATTAAAAATCATTCATGTAAAGCATTTTAACATAGTGACTGGCACTATGTTAAATAAGATTTCATAACAGCACAAAGAACAGGCCCTGAAAAAAGCTACCACACTTAATGTACTAGTAAAAGATGAGAAGTCCTTGACAGGTAAGAAGAAGAACGAGCTGGAGAGGTAGGCAAAGAAGCAAAGAAGAATGTCTCAGAAACCACAGAAAAAGGGTCTCAAGGAAAAGGGAATGATTAACATGTCAAATGTCAGAGAAAACAAGGAAGATAAGGACTGGAAAACAACCGGATCAGCAGCCAGGAATTCACTAATGCCTCAGCAAGACTAGTCTGCACGTTGCTAGAAACAGAAAACTGGACTAAGGTAAATAAATAAAAGGAGAAGTGAAGGGAGAGATTAGGGATCATGGTAGACACACAGGAGAACTTCTGAATTGATGGCTTTTTTTCTTCTTAGTAGGCTAGTTCTTGAGCAGATTTGGAGGGAGAAAAGTCCTGGAAGAAAGAAAAGTTGAGGATCCAGGAAGGGACACAAAGAAGAGAAAGATACTATTTAAAAACCTGGTTGGGGGCTTTTAAATAGTAACCCCAATAATTTCAGAGGCTGAGGCAGGAGGAACAAAATAATTTATTTTATCTCAAAATAAAAAAATAAAAAAGAGCTGGGGATGTACCTCAATGGTAAAATGCCCTGGGTTCAATCTCCAGTACCAAGAAAAAAGAAAAAAAGAGACCAAGCCTGGGTGGGGCTGGGAGCTATAGCTCAGTGGTGATCTAGTATGTACAAGCCCTAAATTTTATCCCCAACTACAAAAAAAGAAAAAGAAAAGGAAAAAAGCCTGGGTAGAGAGGGCCATTCAGTTTCAGGAAAGAGAATTAAGAAAAGGATAGAGTGGAGTCAAGGGTAGATGGTTTTCTTTTCTTTTTTTTTTTTTTTAATATTTATTTTTTTAGTTGTAGTTGGACACAATATCTTTATTTTATTTATTTTTATGTGGTGCTGAGGATTGAACCCAGGGCCTTTCACATGCTAGGCAAGCACTCTACCACTGAGCCATAACCCCAGCCCAAGCGTGGATGGTTTTCTATAAAAAGCCAAACAGTACAAGTCTATGCTCTGTGGGCTTTATGGTTTCAGTCACTAGAATTCAAGTCTGCCACCACAGATTAAAGCAGCCACAGACATAAATAAATGAATCAAAGCTAGGTATACTAGTGCACACTTGTAATCCCAGAGGCTCCGGAGGCTGAGACAGGAGGATCACTAGTTCAAAGCCAGCCTCAGCAACAGCGAGGCTCTAAGAAACTCAGTGAGACCCTGTCTTTAAATAAAATACAAAATAAGAATGAGGATATGGCTCAGTGGCTGAGTGCCCCTGAATTCAATCTCTAGTACTCCCCCTGCCAAAAAAAAAAAAAAGTAAATGAACCAGCAAAGCTGTTCAAAAGACTATTAAGGACACTGAATTAATTTCATATAATTTTCATGTGTAATAAAATATTATTCTTTTGATTTAAAAAAATCATTAAAAAATATAAAAAACTACCTTAGCTCCAAAGCTATATAATAACAAGCGAGTGGATGGATTTGGTCTGTGAGCCACAGTTTGCTAATCCCTAATACTTGCAGGGGTGGAGAAAGAGAGGGACCCTGATGCCTCCACATTCTCCTGTCCACTTCACATTTCTCTATCCAACTCCCAAGGTGACCTTGCACAAATCTTCAGCTTTCTTAGGCAAGTGCTCTCTTACCTAGTACCTTTTCTACTGCCACAAAGGAGATGCTCCAAGGAACTGAATTATTCAATCACTCATTGCCTAAGGTTTTTGTTTGTGGGACATTCTATCAATGAGCTACACCCTTAGCCATTTTTTACTATTTGAGACACAGTCTTGCCAAATTGCCCAGGCTGGCCTTGAACTTGTGATTCTTCTGCTTCAGCCTCCTGAGCTGCAGGGATTACAGACATGCACCGCCACACCCACCTTCCCCTAGTCAGTTCAAAAGAACCTAGTTTTGAGGCCAATGCCAGAATAATTCTAAAACAGTGTTCTACACATGCCATCTCTGTCCAAACGATAAAATCTCAGTTCCTTAGCCTGATACTCAAGGATATTCTCTGGGTCTCTTCCATGTTCTATCATATTACTCAGTAACCAACCAAACACAAGGCTGTCTAAGCCGGCAGGCAACAGCACACTGGTTCCCCAAATTCAACTCAGAATACCCACCTCTTTGCCTTTACTCTTTCCCTGCTCTCTGCTGGAAATGCCCAGTTCCTTTATTTGCTTTTGGAGTCTCTCCATTCCTTTAATTCAAGCCTAACTATCTCCAAGGTTCTCTATATAATCACTCTTTGTCTACAGGACAGGGCCAATAATAAATTAAACGCCAATAACAAATTAACTATATTAATTTATTATTAATAAATTAACTAT